TAAGCTATGTTTAAATGTACGGCTACAATAATATAAATAATCAAAATTGCCTTTAATTTCGGAACTGTCATCTTAAATATTCTGTCCTCTATATATCATCTAAGAATACAAAGATTCTTAATATTTATTACAGTGTGTAATATACGGACTGGCAGAGTGAATTAAAATTCACATTCTGTTGCGTTTTATCTCCACCGTTTGCGAATGTTTAACTGTTTTGTCAAACGTCTACAACCTGATATAAAAAAAATTACATATAGACAGCTGTGAGAAATTTGCTTTATTCAACAGGGGCACAACACTGCTCTTGGCAAGTCTTACAGCAAAGGACAACATCAGCACTTACAGTTTGACAAAGCTTGTGACTACACAGCAAGTTAAAATAGATGTGTTCCCAGCACACTCCACAAATAAATACACAGAGACACATAATTAGATCTCACACAGTGTCCACATCTCTTCATTTCACAGTAGTACTCATTTTAAAATATTAATTATGCATATCAAAGGATGGCATACTTACATCTTGATAGTATTTTTATTCTGTAAACAATCTTATTGACAAGATCATAACAATGCTTTGCTTTTTATAATTGCATTAAACTAAATCAAAAGGGGAAAAACGTTTATGTGCACCATAATATTATAAGTTTATTACAAATAAAAGGCTTCACATAAAGTGCATAAAGGTAAAGTCAGTTATTTCAATGTTATTTCTAACATTTAAAATTTATTGGCTTGGCTTTAATATAAAACACTTAATTATATTACATACATGGCTAATTCATTTGGGCAAAAATAATTAAAGAATAGTAAACTAAATGATAATTATGTGTACTTCGAATGTCAGGGGTAGGATATGACTACATGTAGTCATTGAAATGCATAAAACTGTGCCATAATTGTAAGTCTAGGGGAACATCTGTTGTTATTTTCATGGTAATTTCCATTTAAATTTCCATTCTTATTATTCAATGAGCATGGCATTACCGTTTCCTTGAAATGTCCTGCATCAAGATGTGTTCGGTGTGAATCCGATAAACACGATTAGCATTACAATGCTTAATCGAGAGTTAGCTAACGTAAATCAAATCACACAGCGGATTTAAAATATGTTATCTAGCCACCCAATCTGGCAATTTTAGATTGGGCTGAACTACAGTTTGCCTTCCTCGACGTAGGGACTTAATTTTCAGTCCTCAATTAGATCCAGTTACCGCAACTGTGAACTGCTGGCTGGTAATTAGTGTTCAAAGAAGAAGAAATAGTAGACTGATGCTATGAGAATAGGTCTATATGGACAGAATACAGTGATCTCAAGATAAAAAACAAAAAATAAACACGGTGACGTTTAAGGGGCACAATGTAAACGTAACAGACAGTCACCTGAAACTGGCAATTAAAAGCCACTTATTAATTATGGCCAATTATCAATGTGTGTGTAAAATGACAGCTAAATTCATAAAATTCAGTTTCATGGAAAAGTTCCTTGTGTCTGTAATACTGCAGTGGTCCACTACACTTGGGAATGATTTCTTTAAGTCACCCAGATATTTTGGATGGACATTTAAGGGCCCTTAACTCCCCGAAAAATGCTGTAATATCCTCGGATAAACAGCCTACCCTACACTCGCACCCCAAGCTGCCCCTTCACCTTATATGTATGCATTTCAAGATGGGATGTGTGAGAAGAAGCATATCCCATCTACACATACATCACTTTTCAGTTTTTAAAGTGTCTCAGAGTCAGAGGAGCCTGGGGGCTTGACAAACATCGTTCCATCACCAAGTTTCTATTTGGCTGGAAAATGCATTAAGCATTAAGCAGAGATGTCCCCTTCAATGCCAACTGCAGTCTTCTTTAACTCATTACCTGAAGAACAGACAATTACAAGTAAACAAAAGGTACCTGTAGTATTAATTATCTGTCTAATAAATTACATCCTGTTGCTTTCTAATAAATTAGAAAAAACAGCGAAGACATTAACTGTTCAGGCTTGTTACCTCTAGGTAGTTCTATTTTTTCTTTCCTGTCTTCTGAGCAGTGACACTCTTCTGCGGAAATAAACCCCCCCAGCATCAATTTAGCCATTTTTATAAATGCAGAAGTGCAAACCTGTAACAAGCAATGAGGTACACGGATATTACTGAGGGTACCTAGATCAAATCATATTCCATGACCAAAATATGCTTATAAGTCAGTTTTGACTGGCCCACTGATAGCAAACAGTAATTCTGCCAGTGAATTCTAGTCCCTGCATCCTATAGGGCCATTCCATAGGATAGGATTTATCTAATATACCACAGAAAAATCAGTTTTCTTGTAACACACCTCGTGATTACATTTTTTGGTTACGTGTTGCCTTGCAGTGAGTAAATAGGAGGTGTGAATTAAAATAGATATTTTAATTCATGGACTACCCTTAAGATGGGGTTAGCTATATGGCTTGAATACAGTTTGCTCTTCACTGCTGTTAAAGGGCATTGGTTTATATCAGGAAATCATCATCATAATAATCACCCTCTGCTTTAAGGCTTCTTGCCTTTTGTGAGTGAGGCAGATATATTTCTATGTCCTGAGAGATAAAGTATGAAGCAGGGGGGGGGGGGGGGGGGGTGTTTTTGGGGGGCCCCCCCCCCCCCCTCATAAAGGGGGGGGGGAGACAGAGGCAAAGACAGAGATAATTAGCTGACATTTTGCGAGTCGTCAGAGGATCCAGGGACAAGGACGACAGATTTATGGGATGGAGCTTGGGGTCTGGGTGGTAATGACTCGGCCAGACGAGGGAGGGATGGAAAGACGTCTGGGTGATAGTATGACAGAAAAAGGGAGGGGTGGTAGACAAGATGGAAGATGGTACTGAACCATTTAATGCAGGGGATGGGGGGGGGGTGGCGCAGGGGGTGTAACCTACCTGTGGTGTATGTGGCAGTTTTGTTCAAAACAGCATCTGCAGCCTCTGTTAAGAGGAAAATAACAATCAGCCAATTTTGTCTTTCCTACAAAAAGACTTAAAACTAGCAGTTAACTGAATGTTTTCAGCTTTTTTATTTATCCGGAATTAAATAAAACTCACCCACGTTCTGTCTTTTTAACCGTCTCCTGGCCAGCTTAATCTGGTCTTGCAGAATTTGCACCCAATCTCTGGGACCGGGGAGCTTCTCGATCTTGTTAGTGGTGCAGTACTTCTCTGTAAACGCTGTGGGAAGTGGAGAAAAAATAACCCAGCATTATGAAATGTACAGGTGACTTCTAGCTACAGGTGATGTTACGCTACAGGTGACATTATGCTACAGGTGACAATTAACTGCAGGTGATGTTACGCTACAGGTGACATTTAACTACAGGTGACGCTATGCTACTGGTGACATTTAGCTACAGGTGATACTACGCTACATGTGCAGTTTAGCTACAGGTGACATTATGCTACAGGTGACATTCAGCTACAGGTTAATTTGGTCATGCTAGAGTTTTTGTTGAGGTTAGAATACAAGAGTTATCATGTGGTTCACCTAGATATGGATTTATACTTTAAACTAAATGTATTTTTAAGAAACTGGGCTTGGACGACCCCCCGCGCTCATGGGAGTTTTACTAACACCAAAATGTTCGGTGGGCAGAAGGAAGGTGGTGGTAGAGGAGGTGGGTCCAAGCAACTAGAGGAGGCGGCACCAACCGGTCAGATGTCTTGGTCTTGCCTCCTCTAGTTGCTTGGACCCATCTCCTCTGCAATCTGATTGGCTATCTTGCTGAACCAATCATTTTTCATTCTGCACTTTTCATTCTGAACATTTTTGTGTAAGCAAAACTCCCACGAGTATCCAATCTCATTTTCATTATGTCTGTTATTCTGCAGCACCCCCCCCCCTCCCCCAGGGGCAGTAAAGACATCCTACCCTTTATGGCCCCCACAATGTTCTGGTCCAGGCCCTTTCTGTTGTCGTTCAGGCCCCTCTTCCGCTTGCCATTAGGCAGCGAGTTAGCCAGCGTCTCGTCATCGAAGAAAGCGCACACCAGCTTCCTGAAAAGCAGGCTCCCAGAGCGGGTGTAATTGACCAAGATGGAGTCCAGCTGGGACTTCGAGATAAACACATCGTAGTCTTCTGCCAGCTGGATCTCGGGCTGAACACCCACCTGGCCGAATACACACACACACACACACACACACACACACACAAGTCAGATAAACATTTCTTTATGGGTACCGCTCATTCATTTCTATAGGAAAAATGCTAACGCTAACTATGATAACCTTAAACCCTACCCAGCTCTAACCATAACCATAAGTAACCATGCAAAATACAAGAGTTTTTGCATTTTTAGTTTTTTCATTGCAGTCATTGCAGATTTTTATTAAAAAGAGAGTTTTCCCTTATGGGGACCAACAAAAAAAATGGGTATTTATCACGTTGTGGGGACATTATGTCCCCATAAGGTAAGGTATACCTGGTCACACACACACACACACACACACACACACAAGTACGGGCACAAACACACACATGAGAACCCAACATCACTTAATCGGATCGTTGGCCTGTGGTGAGCGACAGTGCCAGTCAAGTTCACCAATCTCTTTCGGTGCTGATGAGATTCACGGTGACACTTTCACATTGGAAGGACAGTCTTAATCATGACAAGGCATGACAGTACTACAGACAAAACTGTATACACAATGATCACGAGTTTTGGTTGAAGCATTCTCTCTCAAGGGTCTACTCAGGGATACTGACTCAGTTCTTTTATGAAGCCACTTGTTTGCCTGTGAAACACTTAATTCCTCAAGAGCATATTGTGAAAAATGGCTTTGGAAGGCATGATGTAGCCTGGAAAACTTCAGTGGGAGGGACATTAAGAAGGACAATAAGCCATGGAACCTTTTGCACACTTACAACATGTACGACACGGGATGCCGAAACCTAAAATAGCTCAGGTATCCTGTCCTGAGCTCCATATGGCGGCTTTGTTACCTCGGAGGATGACATGTCCCTCTGAAGGTTGTAGCGACTGAAGGCATCGTCTGCAGGAGGTGGTGAGGCGGGTTTGGGAGGCTGGCCAGACTGGTCCAACTGGTCCAGGACAGATATTTCCCTTGGCCCTCTGTCCCTCCCTCCACAGGAGTCTGGCATGGCGCCGGATAGGAGAGAAGCCCTTTTTCCAGGCAGACTCACTGGCACCACCTTGTGGACAGGTCTCCTCTTGCACGGCTTCTTTCTTGGGACGGGAGATCGGATGGGGCTGATAGCGGCTGAGGTCCTGTGCTGCTTCTCCTGGGCTACTGAGGTCCGTAAACAAATACAGCTCTGCAGGAGATGAACCTCTCACAGGAACAGCACGTCAAGTACACCACAGGGCCGCGTTATACATATATTCTGTATTTGAAATAAAATTACTATTATGAATTTAACTGCATACAGTACATAATATGTAATACTAAGCCATATGTATTATGAAGTGGACAGCTGAACTGATATTCAAAGAATATTCTAAAGCAGTAAAATTAAATGATAGTATATGTTTATTATGTATGTTTGTGTGTGTGTGTGTGTGT